TACTAATTAACCGTTTACCACACACACACACACACGCACACACCGCCCTCCCTCCTTTTCTGCTTCTTCGTGCTTCCCCTCGTGTGGGTGTGTCATCCCTCCACCTGCATCTCCCCCTCGCCTGCCGCGCCGGGGGTGGCGTAGCTGTTGCTCCGGTGCTTTGGCGTGAACCTGAACTTCTCCCCGGCCGGGCCGAGCAGCAGCTCGCTGATGCGGATCCAGTCCGCCACGCTGTCGCTCGCCATCAGCGTCTCCAACTCGTCACGGCCCTCGTAGTACGGCGGACGTTCATTGATGCGCTGCGGCAAACGCTCGAGCAACCCGACAGGAACGTAGCGGTACAAGAACGAGAGCCACTCGCAGAGAAAGCGGCGTGTTGTCAGCACCCCGCGCTCGTCTGAGCCCCAATGCGAGAGGCCGTAGTCGCAGAAGCGGCGCAGCATTTCAAAGCGCTCATGGCTGCTGATGTCCCTCGGCTGCTCCGTCTTTATTTCCTCGAAGATCCACGGCTTGATGAGCGCGCCGCGTCCAATCATGTAGGAGCTCACGTGCGGGCACCGGGCGCGGTGGTCGAGGACGTCCTCGTAGGAGAAGATGTCACCGTTGCCAGTGACAGGCAATGCGGTGCGTGCGGCGCAGTCCTCCACGTACGCCCAGTTCGCCAGCTTTGTGTAGCGCTGCTTCCGCGACCGACCGTGAACCGTGACGGCGTCGGCGCCCCAGCCCTCATACTCGGCAATCTGCTTGTGCAGCAGCGGCGCCTCCTCGTCAGGGCCTATGCGGCACTTGATGCTGACAGGCTTTGACTGGTGCTGCGCCAGCGAGCGCACGACGTCCCGCAGCCGGTTGCCCTTCCGCTCCCAGAGCCCGCAGCCGCAGCCCGAAAGCACGAGTCGCTCAACAGGGCAGCCGCAGTTAATGTCGACGAAGTCGTACGAATAGCCCGACGTCGCGATGGCCTGCGCCCAAGTCACGGCGTCCTGCGGGCGGGACACGGCAATCTGCAGGCCAAAAATATCTTCCGACGCGTGACGCCGCAGCAGCGACCACTCGCCCTTTTGTAGCCGGTTGAGGTTGTGCACAATCGCCATCTCGCTCACAGTGACATCCGCCCCGTAGCCTTTGCAGACGCGACGGAACGGAAGGTTGCCAACGGTCGTGAGAGGCGCCAGGACAAGTTTATTTTCAAACAACGCCCGCCGCCGCGCGCGGCCTTCACGCATGTTTTCTTCGCTCCCTCCCGTTCGTGGGAATTCGCCACCCTTCGTGACGTCACCCGGCTCCGTGTTGGTGTGCGGCACCGCCGTCCTCTCGGCGTGGCTGCCACAGTCCTCGGCGGCGCCGGTCGCAGTCACCGATGCCTCCTCCTCAGTGGGTGGCCGCTGATTGTCCTTTTCCTTTTCCTCCTGCTTTGCTCCGTCGCGGGCGCGCTTTGCCCCCGCGCCACACTGCCGCACCACTGCCTTGACGCGCTGCAGGGTTTCGCCGTGGAAGAAGTTCGACTCCCCCTCGAAGGCGGGGCGCTGTGTCCCCTCCACGGCGCAGGAGCGCTGCCGCTCGACCCCTTTGTTCATCCCCCGCGTGCGCCCCTCCGCGTCGAGCGTGACGCGTGTTGGAGCGGGGCGCACGTACTCCGCCTTCACGGGGCACACCCCGCGCGGGGCGGCGGCCGCACACGGCGCCGAGTCGCTCATCTCCACACACGCGTCTGCGCCCGCTTTCTTCAGGCGGCTCCCTGTCGCGACTCAGTGCGGCTCCCTGTCGCTGTTCGTTTCCCGACCGCTGAGGGGCGGCCCTCGCGACGGCCACGCGGTCGCGAAGACGCAGGGGAAGCGCAAGAAAAAAAACCAGAGAATAAAAATAAGGAGTCAAAGAGGGTGGAAGAGCAAAGAGGGGGGCGGGGAGTTGGGACGGCGGGCGCACACGCAGGCGCAGCCCAAGCAGAAGACGCCGAACACACGCAACTCGCAAAAGAAAAGAAGAAAAAAGAGGAAGAGGAGAGGCCAATACAACAAACAGAAAGGCCAGCCACCAAAATCAACGGAGGAACAGACAATAAAGAGAGCTCTTTTTTTTTTGTGAAAGTTTTGGAGGGAATACAACATGACGCGAAGTGGCCGCAGCGTGGAAAGAAATAAAAGAAAAACGAAAGCCCAAACAAAAGTTAGAGCGAAACAGTCACCAGCACTGCAAGCGTCACACGCAAAAGCGCGAGTCATTTCATGAACGGCGCGGGGGGCGGGAGAGGAGGGAGGGAGGCAGGCAGTAGCGCGCAAGTCCGCAGGGCGGGCCCCATTGGCGCCAGGCCTCTCGGGGGGTCGTTGAAAGCGCCTTTTTTCCTTAATTTCCTTTTTGTTAAAATTTGTTGCCGCCGCCACTGCTCTCCGGTGCCCGCCGCGCAGTGCACTGCGCGCCAAGTTGCGTGGGTAAGGGGAAACAAACAAAATGAAGGGGTGAGAACTCGGCCCGGCCCCGGCAGAGTTACAACAAACGGTGAGTGCCACAAAACACGACACAAAAAAAAAAGATTAAAAAAAAAGGGGAAAGAAAAACAAAGTCAGTCAGTAGACAGTGGGGGGCAACTCTCACTGTGTGATTAGTTGCGTCCCTCCGCCTCACTCCCCGCCGCCTCGCCTGCGTTCTCCTCCGCGGGTGTGCGCTTGCGCTTACCTTCCAGGTCGAGGTCGTCGCGCACGCGGACGTTGGGGACCAACACAAAGACGACGACGAGGCTGACCAGCGCAACGACAAATTCGCCAAGCAGCAGCAGCAGCAGCAGCATCAGCAGCATCGGCGCGTTGCTGAAGTCGCAGGGGGCCTTCGTCTGAATGGGGTACGCGTACTGCATCAGAATGGAGCCCAGGTTGTTTGACAGGGCCTGCCCAAGGTTACCAAACCCTCCGAGCAGGGCGTACATGACGCCCTCCACGCCATATGGGCACACGCGCAAGACGAGCAGGATGCACGGCATCCAGCTGAGCATGTGGCACAACTCGTACACGACCTGGTCGCCCAGGATGTACATCACGTGGTCGCCGATGCCCACCTGCACATTCCAGCGTCTAACAATAATGATGTCGAAGATGCTGCCCAGAATTTGAACCCCCATGGTGAGAATAGGGGTGAAGCGATAGCCGCGCTTGGAGAACACGTGCGCAAAGAGCGCCGTCCCCACGATGCCCGCGACGTTGCCAATCAGGCTCCCAATGGTATCATCGAAGAATAGGTTGAAGTGCGGCCCATCGGGGATGCAGTCTGGCGTTGCCACGTAAAGGCTCCGAAGTGCAGCCGGCAGCTGGAGGTAGGGCGTGATGTGCACAAAAATGTACAAATTGACCTTTGCAATCACCGGGGGCAGGGCGCAGAAGCCAAAGAGGCCAAGAGAGACGGAAATAGAGGCGGCGGCAATGGTGAGATCCAGCCCGCCTCCAACGATCGTCAGAACCGTCAAGGACACCACCCCAATGATCATCAGCACCGCGTAGGCAAAACCCCTTTTGTTTTGGCTGACGACTTCCTTATTCACCTCCACGGCGCTGAGGCAGCACGCGGAGACGGGCGCCTCCTCCTTAAGCGCCTCGGGAGCTTCGTAGAGAGCCGTGTTCGAGTCGAGGCCAACCACGTTGCCCGCCTCCGCCGGCTACGTGCTCGGCATCCCAGCCTGAGGGAAGTCGTCAAGGCACTCCAGCAAAACTCCTTGTGCCGCTCTGTGGCCCACCGAGCGTTCCACGCGGTTAGGCCTTTCCTTGATCCAGTTGAAGATGAAGAAGACGGATGTGGCAAACTGTAAGACGGCGGAGACGTAAACGCCAAAGTGTTGCAGCCTGGCATCAGAGAGAGGCCCCTGAATGAAGTCGACCACAATAGGACCGATCATAGTGAACCATCACACCCAACTCACCAGTGCAGGTCCCGCGTCAGGGCGACGGTGCATCAAACGTCTAAAGTGCCCCTCAATCAGAATGTCAATATTGGCCTTGCATAAACCAGTAAGAAACACGAACGCCGCCGCAACACTGCCACTTGATGGGGCCGCGGGGAGCAGTGCGTACACAAGGGCTATTCCGACGCCAGCCACACACGATGTCACACAGTAACACCAATTGGTTTAGCCGAATAGCGTGAAGGTATCACTCAGAATCGCCACCGATGATTTCACGGAAAATCCCAGCACTCCCATCGCCGCCATTCGCTGATACTCCATGCCTGAAAGCCCATAGCTGTACGTAAACATGGGAAAGATGGAGAAGGAAATGAGGTAGTCGGCGACTCCCTTGCACATGAACTGTATCATGGCAAGCGAACCGACGCACCGCGGGCCGAAGCCTTCGGTGGCTTTCCCAAGTACAGGCAACTTCCGAAGGAGTAGTACGGAGTCAAAAAGTTACCTCGCCGTGGGGTGAACGTGGACGGCGTGCTCTTCCTGGACGGCCGAAAGGGGAGGAACGACATCTACCCCATGGGTGTTAGTGGGGTCCCTCGCGTCACACATC